AAAGAAAGAAAGAAAGAAAGAAAGAAAGAAAGAAAGAAAGAAAGAAAGAAAGAAAGAAAGAAAGAAAGAAAGAAAGAAAGAAAGAAAGAAAGAAAAATCCGCATGGCAGTGGGGTGGAAATGGCCTGTTTGAAATTGTCCTTGATCTCCAAGGCAAGGCGGGGGTGGGCTGAGGCGGTGGGGACGGAGGGCACGGGGAGAAAGTTAGAAAGCGAGGCGGGGGACCCCAAACAAAACAATAGCTGAGATGGGAATGTGTTTGGGGAAGAGTGAATCTTGCATGTTGACCCTAAACCTAATCAGCAAAAGAAAGTACATTCTGTTTTCGTATTGTTTACTGGCTTTGAACTTCTGTATTGCTTGGACATCACCCATAACCTTGAGGTGAAGGACTTACTGACTTTGGGCCTTTGTTGACATCCGCCACCCAGACAACGTCTAGTCAAAGAAAATGCTGAAAAAGGGGGAACATAAACAAAAAAAAAAATTAAAAAAGGAGAGGGGGGAGAGATGTTTCTTGTTTGTTTGTTTGTCTATCGTGCTACAGTGAGTTGCGGAGTAAAAAGAGGTGGAYAGACAGACCCAGGCAGGCGGCCGGGGAGGGAGGGATGGAGAGCTGAATGGCAATGAAAGTTTAGCGAGAAAGCTTCCTCTCCTGGTTAAAAATTAACTGGCATTCAGAGCCAATCCTGGAGACAGTTAAACCATGGAGTTCCTCTGGTTGGGGGKTTGATTTCCTAGCCCAATAAAATCGCATCCTCTGAACCGCTGTGACAATGCGGCCATAAAAAGTGTCCGTGACTCGTCCGCTCGCAAACGCCCAGGRCCCGGCTATAAACGCGGCGGAGGCTGCTCCTGGCAAAGGGAGCCGCAGCGCGGGCCAGCACCGGGGCCGGCACCGAGGCCGGAGCCGGCACAGAGCCGTGGCCAGCGCGGCACAGGGCCCGGYTTGCCACGAGATGGCGATCTTCAGATCAATGTCAAAGCCGCCCTGGCCGAGGGCAGCAGCCCTGGAAAGGAGGGGAAAAAAAAAAAATCCTCTTGGCCTTTGTTCACTTTGCATCCTAGGAGCCGCGTGTTAAATTATTTCCCTTTGTGGGCCGGGGTGGCAGCGAGCGCGGGCGAGGCGCAGCGAGCCCCTGGCCAGGGCTGGGCGCGGAGGCCGGGGTGGGCAGCGCGAGGTAAGTGCTCTCCCCRGCAGCGGGGAGCAATGAGAGGAATGCGCCGTTATCGCAGGGCTGCTTGGAGAGCCCGCACGGGCCCTGCTTCGACTTTGTTTCAATTAAGCACTTGGGAAGGGAACTGCAAGCAGGGGAAAAAATAAAAAACTTGATGATTAAACTTATGAGGTGATATAATATTGAAGGATCTTTCTGAGTTGCAGTTGACCTTTTTCTTTCTCTTTGCAAATTTTGGCCAGCTGCGTGGAAAATCCACGTTATCTGATTTTTTTTTTTTTTTTTTTTTTTTTTTAAGGGAGAGAGACTTGTAGATTTCTTCCAGTTATAAAAACCATAGCACTGGAAATATTATGAAAGTTGACATTTATGTGTGGAACAGTAGGTGTCTTCAATCAAAGAGATCTATAGCAACATAGACTGCAAATGACAGACAATTCTGACGGTCTTATTGGACTTGAACTGTAGTGCAGTAAGCGCAGTTTGCTAACCCTAAAGGCTAGTTGTTCCATCGCAGCTGAACACAGATTGTAGCGAACAAATTTTGAYACATTTATATTATATTAAAATTTTCGTATTTGCTTGCATATTCACTCAATGGTGGCGTAAAAACAGATTTGGGTATCTGTGCATCCATCTATCTCTCTATTTATGTATCTCAAAKAGCACATGTGCTGTAAACAAACAATAGTCACACATTCTCGTGTGCCGGGGGCTGCTCTGGGTTGCAGCTTTGAAACCCTATCCTGGCTACGAGTATCTCTAACTCCAGGTTACTTTTCTCGCCCATAAAAGTTTCACATGTTTTTGTTATGTCTCCATTTGAGAAGGGGGGCGGGGGGCGGAAGGTGGTGTTATATGGACATACTGGTTTGGCTGCATATTTTAATCCACGCGTTCCTTTCGGGATAATGTACAATATTTGAATAACTGTTTGAAAATAGGGGTCGTTTTGTCCTTAAGAGTCTTCATATGGAAACTAAGGGAACGTGACTACAGTATATTTGAAGAAGAAAAAAAAGCAGTATTTTCAATTTGTACTCGTAGGGGACTGTCGAAAGTATAGTTGAAAGCATATGTTTAGTCGGTAGAGAGCAGTTTTGAGATGGTTATCGGAACCTATCGATTTCATCAAAGATGTTCCATTAAAAGCGCGGGGATTTTGATCTCTTTTGACCTCTCCTCGGAAATGTCAGGGCTTAAGGAGTCACGTTTTGAGGAGGAGCAGGGCAAGCGCCAAGGGTCCCTTTGCTAAATTTTATTTTACACCACTCAAGTTAAACTCAGCATATTTGATCAAATATTTATTTTTCCCCTTGTTGTTTCCCTGCCCCATTCAATGCTCAGTTAAATAAATCAAAGGGCCCCCAGCAGCAGTTAAAGCGCCCTCTGGTTACGAATTGTTTACTGACGGCAGCGGTCATAGGATAATATTTTAAAAAAACAAGCTTGTTTCTTACAATAACTGTTTATTATTTCACATGATTTGGGTTTGCATGTTTCGGAGGGAAGAAGCGGAGCCAACTCAGTGTCTACACTGTGTTTAATTAATCGCGTACTCAACTTCAGTTCACATGCCACATTCAAATCCCTGGGAGGTTTTCTCATAAGCTCTCCGGGTTTGTGTTTTGTTGGCTTTTTCTTTCTATTTTTTTTTTTAATTTTCTCACAATCTTTTTCTTAAACGCTTTGAAATCCGACCGTGTGTGGCTGAGATCCAAGTTATGCTACTAGTTATATATATATTTGTGTTTGTATTCAGATCTAATTTAAAGAAAAGATTGCTGGGAAAAAAACAAACAAAAAAAAACAAGGAGAAGCGATAAAGTTTTCAAGTGTCTTATTTATTTATTTATTTATTTAGTCATTTATTTATTTTTTAACTCTCTATCCTTAAAAKATAGGCCCATATATTTAAGATTTTACCCTCCCTCCCGTTTCCGAAGGGTGCTTTCGGCCATACGGACAATAGGAAGCACCGCTCCCCTTCGCCAAGGCGTAGGACGGGCGGTGGGATCAGCCCTTCATGCGTCGGATGGGGGGAATTTTATTCTGCCGCATACGGGAATTCAGAGATCGTCAGAATTACTTGCAAAATATGTTCCTAATCCAAAAGAGTAAAGTGATACACATAAACTATAAAATATATTTAGGAGAACAGGCCTCTGGATGGCTGGAATACCTGGAATAAAATTAATTCTCACCCTAATATTTCACCAGGATAATCCGCCACAAGTCAATCCTCCCTTTTACCCCCCCTAACCCCCCCAAGTTGGAAGAATTTCTAATAAAGATAAAACTAGTGGGGCCATCACTTGTCACCTAACTTGGCACCGACGCAGTTCCTAAATCTCCTGATTGAATTCCGCCTTCTTTGGAGCAAATCCAGAAAAAAAAAATTTGGCACACACACATGTTCCTGACAACTGACAGTTCCAATATTAAATAACTATACTGTGATTGCCTTAATTTTTTGGCGATGTATAAAATGTAAACTGCAGCTGTATCTTCAGATAGGCGGCGCATGCACTCCTATAGCCAACTGCAAGGCCATTTACAATTTCGCAAATTGCAGCTTTCCCGGCTCTATAAATGAGAGCAAATGAGAGTATATTTTAATTAGCTTACGAAATGCGTCCCTTGATCACCAATTCAGTATGTTTGGGTTTATAGGGGATATAATAAATGGATAAATCATGATTTAACCTGACGTATTTTGAATATTCCAATCGGAGCCTGCTTAGGCCGAGCGGTCGGGTTTTATTTATTTCTTTTTTTTGTTTGTTTTTAATTTTAGTCAAGCCAATAAAATAGGTTAACGACTCTATTAATGCATCTATTATATTTTTCTTAGATCAATAAAGCTTTATTTTGATAGCGTTGTCTGTGCATGCGTGAATGTAGATTCTCCCTGAAACCACCATATTACTGATTCTGATATTTATCAGAATTTTATTTAATAGAATTTATGGACCCTAGGATATCTTTACTTACAGAAGAAGAATTTWAAAAAATGGACGCTGGCGTCCACAGTATTCTTTAAAATATTCTTTTAAGTAGGGGTTAAGCTCCAAGGGACGCATTGCTAAGCGCTGGAAATGCAGTAGCAACACACAATACATGCCAAATTAGCTCAGTTTAGTCAGAATTGACCATTATCTTTTATAGTTAAGAATCAAGCGYACATTATTAGTTTTACTTCACTGGGCTTGATGATGCTGGTTACTATTTGCCTTGGCCTTGTTAGTGATTAAAGAAAGCGGGGCTAATGCACCGCCTAGCTGAGTTCATGATCTCCACGGAGTGCCTTGACCATCAAACCTCCCTTGCTCGGTTTTATAAACACAGCAAAAAGGGGGCACAGAACAGATTTTCCGACAGCAGCTCCTGCAGGAGCCACACACTCTCCTTTGGGTCAAAGCAACCGAGGGCTAAATTCGAGGCTTTGCGTGGCGAATCTTTGTAACAAAAMCTATGGGGGGAGGGGGGRAAAA